AGAGCCCTGTAGTCACTCTTGATCCACTCAGTGTCACACCTCGCAGTATCATTAGTGCCCACATGGATGAGTAGCAAGGGGTAGTAGTCAGAGGGCCGGATAATCCTCAACAATGCCTCCGTAACATCTCGGATACGGGCCCCCGGCAGACAGCATACCTCCCGAGATGAAATGTCAGGGCGACAGATGGGCTCCTCTGTCCCCCTCAGAAGAGAGTCTCCGACTACCACTACCCTACGTTTCCTATTTGCAATGGTGGCAGCAGACCTCCCAGCCTTGGGGTATGGGGCTTCTCCTCCTCCGGTGTAGGGGGTGATTGCTTATCTCCTGTATAAAGAAGAGCATAACAGTTTCCTAGTACCACGGAGGCAGGGTTCGGAGCAGGGGTGGAGCAGTGCCTGCTGCCAGAAGTAACCAGCTGCCACTGTCCACCCTGATCCGTCTCCTCCTCCACCAGTGGTGTGTCCCCAGTCCTGTGTACCAGGACAGCTACCTCAGCTGTCTCCTCATGAACACGGTCCAGGAATTTCTCATGGATGCGGGTGCTCCTCAACCTAGCCGCCTCCTCCTGTAGCTCTGCCACCTGCTGCCTGAGAGATTCCACCAGCAGGCACCTTTCGCATTGGATGAGCTCCCCAGCCTGGATAACAATAAGTGGGAATTGCAATCCACACCAGGATCTGGGTAGAAGCATCCATGCTCAGGTGCTCTGTCTGGCTACAGGCACCAGTGGAGGAGACAGAAAACAGTGCTGGCACAGGTGTTGCGGGTCTTCCTGACCATCGTAGGCCTCCCTCTGTCTAACTTCCTCTCAAACTCTCCTGTCTGCAGCTCCTGTCTGTTTATGCTCTTTTCCTTTCTTTTAGAGTTGGAGATTGCTAGAAGGCAGGTGGAAATTGATAAGAAAGCCATAGATGAGCTGGTGAGAGAAAGGGACATATTAAACAAGGTGAGCTTCCTTTGGTAACCCTGATAAATATCTTGCCTTGAATATGGGATGTCTGTAGCTTCAACCATGTTTCCCCCCTATTTCTGTGAATTGGAACATTATGACCTGAGAACACAAAAGGGACTTCTTAGTATTAGCATATAAAACAGCAGGGGGCTGTAAGTGTAATGTGCACTTGCCTTTATTGCAAGCATGTTATTTGATAGTCTAAATAGTTGATTACTCCTCTGCTTGTCGTATCTACAACATGTCAAGTTTAATGTTAATCTATTCAAATTAGGCTGCGCTAATAAAAAAACACACCATCTGTTTGCATGACAGCCTTGTTTGTTTTTAACTCTGATCTCTCCTGCTACAATTTAAATTCCTTTTTCATGCTGACCATTTTTCAACTGTCCACGGTTCTCAAACCAGGCAATAATATCTTGAGCTTATGGGTAGTTCTGAAATTGACTTTCATAGAGTTGACTCTGTAATATGATCCTGAATGAATCTGTTAGAGTCACCTTTTGAAGAGGAGGAAAACTGATCCTTTAATTTCAAAGGATTTTTTAAAATGGGGTTAGAAAAGTGGCTCCATTAAACTGACATGTTGGTGTCTTATGTTTATTCTCCCTCTGTGAGTACCAGGTCAAGCTTACTCAGTTTACAAGTTCAGCCTGGGTTACTAGAAAATGAGACTGGGAGGTGTTTGGACCAATCATTTCTCTTATGACTTTCCGTATGCTTTAGAATTTATGTACCTTGAAGGTGGCATGTTTTCCCATTGCCTTCATTATACCACCTCATGAACAACCCTCTGTATTCCTTCTGAAATGCAGACATCAGTATCCAATCTTCCAAGGCAAAAATACAGCCTCATTCTAGAGCCCTGCAGCAAGGACTGGGATCCCGTGGGTCTCGTAAGGTATAATAATAATTCCATAAGAGTGGGAGCAGCAGGTAAAATGTACTTTGTTTCAATTGGGATTGGGTGGGCAAAAAACCAGACTGCAGTAATTTATGGGAAATCACTACATCTGTCGTCAGTTTGTCATAAATGGAATTTCAGCAATGTAAAGCAAGTTTTTCTTTTTCTAAAAGTAAAGGTTTTAATACTTAAGTTTTAGCAAGGAATAGAAAGAAATTTGTTGTCTATTATAACAGGAGTAAAACGTTTTTTTAAAACATGGTTTAAGCAAGATTTATTTTATTCTTTTAGTGGTAAAATTATGTTTGCTCTCTCTCTCTCTCTCTCTCTCTCTCTCTCTCTAATATATATCAGTGGTCCCCAACTCGGTGCCTGTGGGTGCCATGGTGCCTGCTGGGGCATTCGTACACGCCCACCGACAACCCGGGCTGGCCCCGCCCCCTGGCGCGCGGCGCACTGGAGGCGCCGGCCCCGGGCGCGCGACACACACCGGCGCCTGGTGCGCGGTGCTCGG